CCCCAAAACCCCAAAACCCCAAAACCCCAAAACCCCAAAACCCCTTAGGCTTTAAAAAATTTTGAAAATTATCAAAATCCAAATTAAATTTTTAATCATGAATTCCAAACAGGAGAAGGCTAACGCAACTTTGTTAGAAGCTATCAAGGCATTGCAGAGTGTTACTATAGTGTATGAGAAGATATGGGAGAGTATCATAGGTCACCCTCCATGTGTAGCATGTCTGGCAATGTACCTTCACAAGCCGAATATTTCTCATAGAGCGCCCAATTTGATTAGGCTTCTACATAACCCAATCGGACAAATTTATTCACTCGACGATGAAGAGATCCAAAGCGAAATCTCTTCAGTTATAAATGAAGCGCTTAAGCGTAACTCTGATTTCTTTAAATGCAAGCACCTGAAGTCCTCTCTAGATGATGGTAAAACCAAGAAGGGATGTAACTGAAGAAAATCGTTCTGCGTCAAAAAGTATTGCGAATGCTACCAGGCTGGACTCCCCTGCAACCAGAATTGCTGCTGAATTGACTGTAAAAACCCTCACAAAGAAATAGATGAGATTAAACAAGTCCATTTTACTCCTACTAAGAAGAATGGGAATCAGAAGAAGCCAAGCTTTCTGAAGGACATGTCTAAGGCCCTGGTGGATTGACTTAAAGGACCCAAATATATTCACAGAACAAACAATAGTGAAATTATAAAGACGATTTCTTCAACACCTCACACTCTAAATAGCCTGAGCTCACTACTTAACACTGAAAGGGAGGAAAGTGTGCTTCCTCCCTTACCTCTGTTCGACAAACAAAGCGTCACTAGAAATCAAGTTTGCAGTCCTACCTCCAACCACCATAGTGTTTTATTGAAAAATAATTTGATTCCGTTGAATATTAAGACTTCACATATTTTCCAGCTGCATGAAAGCCAGTACGGGAATGAAAAATTCTCAAAATTAGCTAACTCCTCTTTTAAAAAGATCTTGGCTCCAAAGGCAACATATTCTGCCTCTACAAGGCTGAATAAGTCCTCTGGCTGGTTAGAGGTCTCTAGCGAGGACGGCAGCACAAGTCAAGATTTTGTGAATAAATCATCAATGGTAAGGAGAAAATCCAAGATTGATTACATCTCACTTCTTGGCAAAATGAAGCAGCACAAAAATTTGTCCATCCTGGACAAATTCTTGGAGGCAAAGACACCCCGGAACCGGAGTGCCTTTAAGCCTCGCCCAATTCCAAGGATTTTGGGTAAAAAAGAGATAAAGAGCTATGATGCTCCTTTGAGGCAGAAAAATCAAGAATTTTCGAGTGCTGAAAGCGACTCGATGCTTGGATGCCCTTCAACAACGATTCAATAAATGAATTCAAAATTTCAAAGATCCAAGTTTATTGTTGCTTTTGGCAACCATAAATTTTATTTTGAGAAATAAATTTAATTCTCAATTCGTGGAGATTGATGAGGGGTTTTGGGGTTTTGGGGTTTTGGGGTTTTGGGG